CAGTTACATATACAATAAATAGATGAATTGCCAGCTACCCCTCGAGCCATCATTAACTGACTGGCTTTTTTCTTAACAGGCATCAAATGCCAGGGTGGGCCTTTCACGGGGGTTGTGGTGAAGAAGCACACAGTAACGGGCTGTAAAGAGCAACACATACAGTTAGTTACAGCCATAAAACGTCAGCTGCTGATCCTTTCAGGTGTTACTGTGACTACTGTAGTTTTAATACCCGGATACATTCACCCTGAACAGTTCCCCTGGTAAAGACGTAAAGCAGCTCCACTAGTACTGAAAAGGAGTTAAATGGAAGGATTTCTATTTCTGCTGTAAGAGTTTCTACCCCAAAGATAATTTTCCTGGGGGAAGTTTTTTACCCTGGAGTGCAGAGGGGTGAAGGGGGTGATAGCCAGCAAGCTGAAAACTATGTGCACTATGCATAACCATGCATAATCAAACCTTCTAACAGCATTTCTTTCAACAATATTCAGGAATCAAAACAGATGTTACTAAGCTATTTTTGATGACTCTTGCCCTTTTCATGAAGCTTGAAATTTTTAAAAAGCAAAAAGGTGCTATTTCTATTAGGCAAAAATCATTTTGCTTTAAAAAAGATTTAAAAAAATTAAAAAATCAATAACACTCCCTCAAATAGACTACACGGACTGTCAAAAGTCAACTAGCTGTGAAACTGAGCCCTTTAATCCGGTTCAGAAGACTTTGAGCCTGGACCTTTCACTTTAGTATAAACAGGAATTTCCCTTGAAGTCAGCTATACCGGTCCCTGTCAGCTCTGAGAGTCCCAGCTTTATGATCACACAAATGTTTAATTTTTCAAGGGGACAGGGGGATGGAATAGCAAGGCCAGGCCGCAGCCCTGTCTATATATTACTGCAGCGTGCTGTTTTGCCACTGAAGGTCCAGCTTCCAGACTGCGGATCTGTCAGTGACCAAACGTGATGGACCACCCATCGGCCTTTTATTAACCAGCACTTGTTCCCCCTCTAATCCTATCACTAGAGTAATCAAAGCTGCCATGTCCCAGGGTTTGATGGAACAGCAGGACCTGGGAAATGAAGACTGATTTTGTTAACGAAGTCATTCCTGCCCCTTGAATGCTGTCTCACTGGTAGAAAGCAGGGAGACGGGGTTTATTTGTGCAGAGAATGAGGCAGCAAAGAAATGAAAGGAGAAGAATGGTGAAGTGTGAAGTTTAATCTGGCACGGTCTAAGGTTTCTTTCTTTGAGGCCGCCTCTGATCCAATCAACACCGGTTTGATATTTAACATCTCCCCCTGCAGTTGGAAATGATACAGGCTGGAGACGTCCGGAGCCAGGCAAGCCCCGATCAGAGCACGGAGAGACACGGGGGTGCTGGCAGCGCCCCGCCGATGGGATGGGATGGGATGGGATGGGACGGGACGGGACGGGACGGGACGGGATGGGATGGGATGGGATGGGGGAGTGTTTTTATTTCTAACCTGGAAGAAGGGGTATCAATGCTGTCTCGGTCTGGGGATCCTGCTGAGAGGCAGGATCAAACATGAGCAAGAGCTACCATCCACCTTCCCCGGGCAGAGCGGTCTGGGTAGAGGAGAGAGACCTTCCCCTTGCTGACCATGCAGGCTTTTAGCGGGGACGCGACGCTGCCCGAGGGTGCTGAGCGGGGCTCCCGTCACAGCCCTGGGTGATCGGGGGGACGCAGATGGACCAGGGCAGCTGCAGGAGTCACTGTCACCGTCCTCCTTGCTCCAACAACAGTGTATGTCAGCCTGGGGAGAGCTTTCCAGCACAGACCTGCGCGAGTGTCCCAAAGAGGAGAGAAAGCTCTGCCCTTCCCCGAGCGGGCCCTCAGAGGTCGTGTGGACAAGTCCTCGTGGCCTGTCACCGTGCCGGCTGCAACGCTTCTGCCGGCATCCCAGCAAGGGAAGGCCCCGAACTCCACCCACCCCTCACCAGCTCTTCTCAGTCCTGGCCCACTTGTAGTTGCACTTTTTGGGCCACTCTGTAAATAACTGTCTACGCTGTCAGAAAGAAAAGTTGCTTGCTTCCTCTTCTTTGCGGCCTCTGAGCTCCTTCTGTCCCCCCTTCAGTGAGAACCCTGAAACTCCACATACCAAGGAGCGGTGAAATTTCAGCCTGACTCAAACTCGCTCTGAATTCCCCTGTTGCCAGGGTCCTGACTCAGCCTTTTGCTGTGACTTAGACACGCGGCCACCAGCTGTAGGATGTCCAGGACTCGGTGTGACCAGCAGCTGCCAGAGGATGCTCCCCACGTGAGCCGTGCGGGAACACAGCCGGACAGGGGGAAAGCCGGGCAATCGGCGCGCTGCCGGTCTGGGAGAGCGGCCCCAAACACCGAGCAGAGATTTCGGGGGAGCAGAGCGTCAAACTACAAAGTTTCAGGGTTTACAATAGAAAACCATGTGCCATTGCTCTACCTGCAAGAGCTGGCTCTCCAGGAAGCAGCCAATTATATGAGCCACCTTCATCTTTCCATCCCGCTAAGACAATCAACATTTCAAAGCCACGCACAGAACGTTTCAAAGATTGTTCCGAGTCAAAAATGCAAGTGTATCCACTTTCTTTCAGAGCAGATCAAAACCAAGTACCACACCGGGACCACTCCTAGATTTCCTCCTCCTCGTGGTATCAGATTAACAGATTTGGTACATGTAGTCAGATTAAATATTTGCAGTAGCACAAAGCTGCCTTTGAGGGGAAGAAGCAAAAAACACAAAAAAAAGCTTTTTTTGGTTTTTTTCTTTTCTAATTTAGTTAGGGCAAAAATACTAGACTTTGGGGACGGGGGAAACAAAAGCATTGACATGTTCCAGCAAGGCAGAGTTTTCAAACTTGAATTCTGAATGCAGAAATTACGTGCAGTATTCCCGTAACAGTAATGCTGAAAACAGGTAAAAACTGCTGATGCCCTTAGCAGATTTGGGACTAATTTATCACAGATGTTCTCATCACACTGTGCAAACACCCTGCAAGACAAAAGCTGCTCAATTTCTGATTTCCATTTTAGTGCGTTTTAATTACGTGTCGCTTCAGGAAGGCTCCAAGACCTGGAATCGGGAGGCAAAGCCCAGCTATAGTAATCCACTCCAGTAAATTAGCACAGTAATACACCAAGCAGTAGGACTGCCAGACGGTGTGATAACATTACAAATTACTATTGTTAAACAACTAGCCAGGTGTCAGGATGCACGAAATCTAGAGGAAGCAAGAAAATAAATATCTGGTTTGTTTTGTTTAATTTTGTCTCATGTTATTCTCGTGGCCTTCTTCCCAGAAAAAAAGCTTCAATCTAGGAAAAATCCTCATGGACACTGATCTATTTTAGCAGCAATGTCAATTCGCTGTAATAATGAAAATGTAATGCATTTTTTTAATCAGCACAAACTTTTTGCATAAATGGTTGTTCTTTACTTGCCAATACTAGCAGTACCTTTGCTGTTCTTTTTTAGATTATTACTGTGGCAAAACGAAGGGGAAATTTTTGTTTCTATTTAAAATTTACAGAATGAGAGAGACACAATTACTGTAAGAGCAGCAGTGAGTTTTCTGCTCTGTCCCTTTTCCTTTCTCTGTCGCTCACTCTCACTCTCTAAAACGAAAAAAAAATGTAATACGATTCACATTTAAAAGGCTTCCAAGTGGTACATTTTTAACCAAGTGCTTTCATGTGCTCAATTCTAACTGTCATTTTTGACCTAATACAACCAAATGCCACTGGATGTCTGGAATGGTTAATTATTTTTACCTCACCTTAAAGAGGGGTTCAACAGAGAGGGGAGGCACTTCAACCTTTCAGACAGAACAGGGTAAAACGAATTCCTTGGTTTGCGTGTGTTAATTAATGCAAAGGTCCTGAGGGGATTTCTTTTATTTTTGTTGATAAACAAGAAAATCCCTCCAAAAGCGTATGCAACCAATCTTCTCCTATGCAGGCTGCACGCAGAGGCAGACTTCTAGTTGAAATATCGGATGAACCAAATGTCACTGAAAGTCAGACTTTCTCCCCTTAAAACAGTTCCAGCTAGACTTCAGGGTAGAGGGGGGTGAAGGCACTCTGAGGACATTTTAATCACACCAAAGATCAGCCCTTTAATCCTTATTCCCACATCACCAACATTTTTTTTGCTCAAACTAGGACAGTAAGATAAAGCTGGGAATAGCTGATCCCAAACTAATGACGAGAAGCAGGTTAAAAACGAAATATCATAGCAGTAACTGACACCATTTTAAATTTCCGCTGGATTATTTGTTTTCTTCCACACACATTCATTTCCTGAATTTCTAGTAAATCTGATTTCGTATAAACAGTTTCACAAAGCAAAGTCAATAGCTGTGACTGTGTTCCTGATTAATCCACTGAAATGAAATAGATCGCCTGGCTTAGTACTTGGTTGTTTAAAGCTCAACCCACCGAAAGAACTCTGGAGTCCAGTTACACCAGTAACTTCTCTTTCTTCATATGCATCCTTTTCTTTTTGCTGAACTTTACCTGTTCTAAAATGAAAAAAATCCACGCAGATTGAACACTTAATTTCCCCCAGTGCATGAGGGCAATGTGAGCCAGTTTGTGTTGACCTGGAGTGACTACTAAAAAGACGACCGATAGTTTGCACACACTTCAATCTATCTGAACAATGTTGAAATTTCTTTTTTGATTGTTCAAGCTTCATCCTCCTCCTGACAAGTACCACAGAGCTGGTTTATTTAAAAACAAACAAACAAAAAAAGCACTTTTTACTCAGCTCCGGGACAGGACGGGAGGTGTTGGAGTTTCCCTCACAAGTGGCAAGCCGGTGGACGCACACATTCACACCCCGGACATTTGCCTCTCAAATAAATAATTCGCATAATAAACTCCCTGCGCGCATCGCAGGGTTCCTGCGGGCAGCAGGGATCGGCGCGATGGAGAACGGGCAGCCCGACGCCCAGGCTGCCGAGGGCCACGAGCGCCCCACGAGGCCCAGGAGCCTCCTTACCTGGGAGAAGTTGAGCCCGTTGAGCGGGTGACACTGCTCCTCCACCCTCTCCACCGCACCCGTCGTCTTCTTCATCCTCTCGGCCTCCTGGGCGAGGTAGAGATCGAGCACCGGCACCCCTCTGGAGCGGATGTCGGTCTCCGTCAAGGAGTTCACCATCAGCATCACCCAGACGGGCCTCTTGCGCTCCCAGTTGCCGGCGATGGCGTTGAAGAGGTAGTCGGCGTAGAGCCCCTTGCCCCGCTGGTCGGGGGTCATCCAGTGGGGCAGCATCAGCTTGACGTAGTCCAGGTGGCGTTTGAGGCGGCGGTACAGCTCGCGGGGCAGCACGTCCTGCAGGTTCTCGCCGTGGGGCAGCATCTGGCAGCTGGCCAGCCCGGAGATGGTGTAGGGGTCGGTGAGGTCCAGCTCGAAGTAGACGCTGGAGCTGGCGTGGAAGGCGGCCTTGGAGTTGTCGGGGATGAAGTCCCAGACCCGCGTGTAGGGCACGTGGATGGTGCCGAAGAGGTAGGCGGGGGGGTCGCGGCGGACGGTCCAGAGGA